TGAACAAAGTCCATCTAGATTCGCGGCCTGTAGGTAAAGTGTTGACAGATAAAACGAAAAAAAAAAACAGACCTATAAAAATATATTTTCTAAAACTATTTTAATTTTGAAATTATATTATTTTCACATTTGCCAAGTGTTTTAGCGAATAGTTATAGAAAGGGTCTTGTCGATTAAGACTATAGCGCATGTGCAATGTGCAGTTTTAAACTTCCGAGACGACAAGTCGATGATACGACAGTTTAGTGTTTTGTCGTACCGTCGTATCATCGACTTGTCGTGGCGATAAGTCGATGATACGACAGCACGACAAAATAAGGTCGATGATACGACAAAATCACGCGATCTTACGACAGTTTGTTCTGTCGTAAGATCGCGTGATTTTGTCGTAAGATCGTGTGATTTTGTCGTGTCGTCGTATCATCGACTTACAGTGGCGATAAGTCGATGATACGACGGCTCGACAAAATCACACGATCTTACGATAAAATCGCTATAGTCTTTATCTACAAGACCCTTCTATAAATAAAAAAACAAAACTGACACAGTTATATGGGACAACAATCACTGTTTTATTATACACAAGCACAACGTTTCGATAAGTATTCTCTTATCGTTATCATTGTGCTTGATAACGATAAGAGTATATTTATCGAAACGTTGTGCTTGTGTATAATAAAACAGTGATTGTTGTCCCATATAACTGTGTCAGTTTTGTTATGTTTCCAATTGCTAAATGCCACTAAAGGATTATATTACCTTCTATAAATATTCGCTAAAACACTTAGCACATGTGAAAACAATATAATTTCAAAATTAAAAGAGTTTAAGAAAATATATTTTTATAGGTCTGGGGTTTTTGGGGTTTTTTTTTTGGTTTTTTTTTACATTTGATCTGTCAACACTCTACCTACAGGCCGCGAATCTAAATGGAATTTGTTCAAATTTGGCACAATCATTACTTTCAAAGAAAGGGTTGCACTCTCGGAGGTAAATGCATGACCGAAGCACTACTGTCACATTGAAACCTGTTTTCTTTTTTAAATCTGTTTTCTTCGATCGACTGTTTCCCTTGTTTCAAGTTAAATGATGATCTATTGGAAAGAACGTATTGAGTAAATCTACGCTATCACTAATACGGATTCAATATGTAATATTTCTCATTACTACCTATGTTGTTTAATCAATGTTATACATGTTATTTTTCAGTCGTATCAAACATCATTGATATCATTTTATTGATTCTGAAATTATTTGTAAAACAAAATAAGAGACGTGGGGAGGGGGGGGGGCGTATGAGGCTTTCATAGTGTGTAATCATCTAGGCCTCGATCCATTGTTTTTGGTGCTTGACATTTTGCGGGGGGGTCGCAGTGTCTAGGCAGGTAAGACGTTGGTTCGGTAACCCGAAAGCTGGGTGTTCGATCCCTTCATTGGACGAGAAAGTTCATCCAGATTTTCCGACGAGGTCTTGTCAGTTGTGCTGGACAGAGGGCCTGGCACGTAAAATATCCCTTGGTAGTTGGAATTCGATATAAATTTCGCTCATAGTATGGCGTATGCCCGTCTTCAATATGACAGTAGTGGTTCGGTCATGTATTTACACCCGAGAGTATCATCCTTTCAGAGGATCGCGTGGCTACGTGGGCAAGACGCTGGCTAGCTAGCCTGGAGGTCGGGTGTTCGATCCCACACTGATCAGAAGTGAATATTCGCTAAGCCTCTGATAAGAATGACATCGATGCGACTTAATGAGTCCCCAATATTAACATTATTCCTCCGACAAATTTAATTCTAAAAATTTTTTTTTTATGTATTAGAAAAATAAATAAAGACATTTGAAGTATTTGTAGGTAAAAAATATTTCCTATGTAGCGTAAAGGGTATTAAAATGAGTAAAAGGCATCATTCTACCCGAAGCAGTTACGTCTTATATAAACAATGCACGCGCCATTGGTCCAATGATTGACACCGCGTGATGTGATTGCATGTGTTGAAAACAGTCATCTTTTACAGAGATATTAGACGACTTTTTTCACAGATTGGTTCGATCCCTGCATTGGCCGACAAAATTCATCAAGATTTACCGGCGTGGTTCCCCCTTGTCAGTGATGCAGGACGGAGGGCCTGACAATGACAGCTGTCTAGTCGTTCGGATGGGACGAAACACCGAGGTCCCGTGTACACATTGGCGTGCACGTAAAAGATCCCTTGGCAGTTGGATTTCGATATAAGAGCGGGCCGTAGCGCCGCTTCCCGGGCAAAATTCCCTCATAGCACACTGTATGGCGTATGCCCGTCGTCTTTAGCCCAGCTTAGGAGAGAACAGTAGGACGTTAAACCCCATTTCATTCCATTTCATGCCATCCTGTCTTTGAAAGTAATGATTATGCCAAATTTGAACATCTAGTTCCGCAGTCTGTAGTTATACCAGAGGGTTGACAGATAACACCTTAAAAAAACAGATCTATGAAAATATATTTTCTAAACCTTTTTTAATTTTGAAATTATATTGTTTTCACGTGTGATAAGTGTTTTAGCGAATAGTTGTAGAAAGGGTCTTGTAGATTAAGACTATAGCGCATGTGCAGTTTTAAACTTCCGAGACGACAAGTCGATGATACGACAGTTTGGTTTTGTCGTATCATCGGGACACAGATCACCAAATATTCCTACGCCGTCACCCACGAAACAAGGGCCAAAGCTATTTTTAGTCTTCCTCTCCCTTTTCCTTTTTCCCCCTTTTGCATGGCGATATTTGTTGACTTTTTGGTGTAGAATTGAGGAAAAGGGTTTGAAAATACATTTTCTGCCAGGTTTTGGTGAATATTCATAATTTTGATGCGGAAGGATACAAGAGTTGAGAGGTTGGTTACGTTGAAATGTAGGGCCTGAAATTGCATGTTTACTTGTCTCTACTTCCAGCTTGTGTATCTCAAGTTTTTCATGAAGAACCTCATACGTGCTTTTGGGCAAGTGGTTGCCACATGTTGCTCCATCTGTGGTAGAAAGCGTTCTACCCAACGAAAATTTGGGAAAAAGTTAGAGCCGGTCTAAGATACGAGAATTAACATTGGAGTCAATGGGGAAATCTTTAGTGATCTGTGTCCATCGACTTGTCGACTTGTCGTCTCGGAAGTTTGAAACTGCACATGCGCTATAGTCTTAATCTACAAGACCCTTTCTGTAACAACATGTATTCGCTGAAACACTTAGCACACGCGAAAACAATATTATTTCAAAATTAAAAGAGTTTTAGAAATATATTTTTATAGGTCTGGTTTTTTCTTTGTTTTTTTTTACGTTTGATCTGTCAACACTCTACCTATAGGCCGCGAATGTAAACTGACTTTGTTCAAATTTGGCACAATCATTACTTTCAAAGAAAGCATGACACTCTCGAATGTAAATGCATGACCGAATCACTACTGTCATATTGAAATGTGTGTGTTTTTAAATCTTTTTCTTCGATCGCTGCTTTCCTTGTTTCATGTTAAATGATGATCCATTGGAAGGAACATATTGAGTAAATGTACGTTATCACTGATACGGATTCAATATGTAATAATATTTCTCATGTTTAATCAATTTTTGACATATTATTTTCCAGTTGTATCAAACATCATTGATACCATTTTATTGATTCTGGAATTATTTGTAAAACTAAATAAGAGACGTGGGGTGGGGGTGGGGGGTATGAGGCTTTTAGAGTGTATTCATAGTTGAAGATATTACTGGGCCTATTTTTACTCATCTAGGCCCCAATCCCATCAGTGATGTCAAACGGATGCAAGCCTATATGCGATAAGGTCAATAACGGCTGCGAATCGTTTTCTCCACCTCATAAAAAAACTCCTGCATCTATTTGGGTGACGTGGGGGGGGGGGGCGGGTATGAGGCTTTTAGAGTGTGTTCATAGTTGAAGATATTACTGGGCCTATTTTTACTCATCTAGGCCTCAATCCAGTGATGTCAAATGGGAGAGAGAGAGAGAGAGAGAGAGAGAGAGAGAGAGGGGGGGGGGGTAACGTCCACTCGACACAAATTAGGTCATTTCGGGACTAACATATGGTTGCGCGTAGGGGTCTTTAGCAGTGGGAGGAAACCGGAGGACCCGGAGAAAACCCACGAGGTTTGACAGGCGACCCTACACCTTGTCACGTACAACCGGGGATTCAAAACCACGCCAGTTGACTCAATGACAGGCTGCGAATCGTTTTCTCCACCTCATTCAAAAAAAACTCCTGCAACTATTGGGGTGACGTGCTGCACTATGATAATGCTGTGATTTTAAAGAATGTGACCCGATTTGGTTTTATTACAATCCCCTTCCCACCCTGTCTTCTGAAATCATTTTTAAACTATCGCTCCAGTCATCTATAAATATTGGTGGGTGTCGTACACATGGCAATGAATGCTTACTTGTTCGATACCTCCCGACACCACTTTTTCTTCAAGGAATTAACTTAGCTAACTCACTTTGGTCCTGCTATTGTAATTCTAGATTTTTTAAATATAATACCAAATATAATTCACTTGTGGACACAAAATGTTTCATTATTTTGAGAAAACAAATAATTAATCAACGTTTTCCTACTATCTCTTTTATATTTATCAAATCTACTACTTAGGCCTATATATGATGTAATGAGTACAGCTGTATTTTTGTGACTTGTAGAAAGAGACTAGGACAATAAGTCGACATCTCGACGTTACGATAAAAATAACACGATGATACGACAGAATAAAGTGTCGTATGATTGCGTCAATACTGTCGTGATGTCGTGTTGTCGCGTTATGAAAAGGGCGAGATTTAACATGGCCACTATCAGCCACCTTACGTAATCGATCTAATGGTTACAAATTTCTAACCGAAATGCCCAAGAATCGAATGTTCATTTTATCGCCGTCTCTCGCGAATCATGCGTTTTTTTTTTTGTTTTTTTTTCAGGCACGGGGGTTGGGGGCTATTCAACGAAAAGTCTTGCAAAAGAACTTACCTGTGAATGGATTCGATGCTGTTATGTGAAATGTTATACTACTGGTGATGGTAGTTATATTCATACGCTACGATTAATATTAAACACAGCTGTTAGCGCGCAATATTCCTCGCTTGATACCCGTCGTCTGCACAAAAATAAACTATGGTGGCTGATTGGTATCATGTCACGACTATTTCACCCGACACCACGGCATTAACAATGTCGTAATGTTGCGTAAAAATGTCGTATTGTCGGGTTAAAATGTCGTGATGTCGGATTGTCGGGTTGACGTGATGTCAGGTTGTCGTGGTGTCGGGTTATCGGCCATATTCATCTCAATACCATGATTATGTACACTGATCCTGGTGTTGGTCAAGAAAGTTTCCCTGGAATTTTCAGCGAGGTTTCTCCCTGTCGGTAGTGCAGAACAAAGTGTCTAGTCGTGTAGATGGGACAAAAAACAAGGTCTTGTGTACATATTGGCGTGCACGTAAAAGAATCCTTCACTATTGAATTTCGATGAAGAAATGCCACGGTCCATTGAAAATTCCCGTTATAGCCCGACAGGCACAGAAAACTGGGAAAATTGAATGAAATGAAATCGTGTTTAGCGTCCTACTGTTCTATTCTGACTGGGCTAATGAAGACGGGAATACGCTTATACAGTGTACTGTAAGGGAAACTTTGTCCAGGTAGCGGCGCTACGGCCTACTCTTACATTGAATTCCAACTGTCAGGGAGTCTTTTCCGTGCTGGCTAATATGTACACGGAATCTTGATTTTTCGTCCCATCCAAAAGACTGTACGTTATCTCCTGCCAGGCCCTCCGTTCTGTACCATTGTAAAGAGGAACCAAAATGGGACGCAAATCCGAGTCCCCATTTACATATTGTGGTGTCGGATTAAAATGTTGTGACGTAGGGTTGTCGCCAATCAGCCACCATAATAAACGACAGAACATCACAGGTAAAGCGTAGTTGTAATGCTGGAACGTTTCTAACACTTGAGCAATATTTTACTGGCGCTATCTTATTTAAATTAGAAATTGTAATAAACTGTATATTATTGAACTTAATGGGGATCCTTTCCACAATATCATCAGGAGATATATGCAAATTCTCCATTCACACAGTTGCTGGTTTATGTGTTACACTACGGTATTCTTATTTCAGAATATATTAAATTAATAAACACTGATCTCGTACATTTAAATCGATTGTTATGTAACTAATCACCAACAGTTATAATCAAATCTATGATGAATCACGACACACAGAATATCCGAATTTATCCATCTGTTCATCGCATGTTTCGACATAATTTATCTTCTTAATCACACCAGGAAGCTGACCTTCAAGATTAACATTACAAATAAATCCCGATTCTGAATATTAAAATTTTAAATGGCATAAATTAATAGAATTTCAAAAACGTGTATAATGATGGGATAATCTAATAATTATTATATCGGTATCTTTACAAGTGGGGAAAGATTGATGTAGCTAATTATGTGTCTGAATGTGACACCGATTGCCCGCCGAAGGGCGATTGATCCGTCTTTATTACAAGGATAACTATGTAAAGTATTTAATAATTATCAGTAATCAGTATATATACCAGACATGCCGTCGTTCCTTTTCTACAAGGGAGCAACTGTGGGCACACGCAAGATAAATATAAATCATTTCCCGACCGATAGTCAACCAAAAGTCTTGATAAGCTTCCTTCATAAAAAAAAAACATTCTGAAGTAATGAAATGAAATGAAATGAAATGGGGTTTAACGTCCTACTGTTCTGCTCCTATACTGGGCTAATGAAGACGGGCATACGCCATACAGTGTGCTATGAGGGAAAGTTTGCACTATCGCCTACTCTTATATCGAATTCCAACTGCCAGGGGATCTTTTACGTGCATTCCGAAGGACTAGACAGCTGTCCTTGCCAGGCCCTCCGTTTTGCACCACTGACAAGGGGAAGCCACGTCGGAAAATCCTGATGAACTTTCTCGGCCAATGCAGGGATCGAACACCCGACCTCCAGGCTAGCGAGCGAGCCAACGTCTTAACCAACTAGCCACCGTGGCTCCCCATTCTGAAGTAACCCAACGCTCTTTCCTGAGTTTTCAATCGGAAGATTGTTACAAACTACTAGTAATGAACAAATTACAAGACATTTTGATAGACAGTGTCCAAGACATTCGTTAACTTGTTTACATAGATTACAGAGTGGTCCACACGTAATTGACCTGTATTCTGACGCGGCTTTGACTTCACTATGAACTTCGATAATAATATAACTAGAATACGACTAGTCGCATTTTTTTCTGATTGCTTCAGTATTAGTCTTATGCCCTAACTTTGTTTTAATACACTGGAATACTTTCGCACGCATATAATGTTTTATCCCTATTTTGTGATTGCCATATAGGCCATTTCGTTTCATTTGGCGTTTTACTACATTTCACGAAAATGGTTATTTGCAAAGGCCTTTTCCTTCAATGTGCCTACACATTATTGTTAATTTGTTTTTCCTTTTGAGTGAAGTCTATCACTACCAGCCCGGTACTGTACAATGCAGTGGATGCTTATGGCTAGCCCCCGGATCTATTCACTTTATCAATAAGAGCCCATTGACTGGCACTGTTCCCGCACTCTTCAAATCAGCTGTTATCAAAATGTACTTAAGAAACCAAATCTCGATCCAAGTTTTAGACCCGTTTCCAATCTGCATTTTTTATCCAAGATTCTGTGAAAAGCATTACAAACATTGTTCTTTGATCATCTTGAGAAAACAACTTGTTTTACGAATTTCAGTCAGCTTATAGACCCTATCATGGAATTGAAACAGCCTTAGACAAAGTCGTAAACGACCTTAAGATGTGTGTCGATAACGGGCGTGTTTCACTGCTTATATTATTAGATCTTTCCGCAGCTTTCGATACAATCGACCACCAAAAACTGCTTTTCCGACCCCACTAAGACTTTGGTATTAATGGCGCTGTTTTGGAATGGTTTAGATCCTATCTGTCATCTCCCCATCAATCTGTAATTGTCAACTCAGATAAATCAGAATCAGTGTGTGGTGTTCCTCAAGGTTCTATCTTAAGATCTGTTTTATTTACCATGTATACAAACCAGCTTGCTGACGATACTCAACTTTTAGATTCGTTTATTCCCGGATCAGATCGAACAGAGGTGCTTACAAAAATGACTACAAGTATCGGATGAATTTAAATTGGACATGAATTTCTGCCAACATCAGTGGTAAAAACAAGTTGATGACCTGTGTAGAAACTGCTACTGCCATCTGAAGAACACCAATTCCATCCGCCATGTTCTCGCACAGGATTCAGCTTCAGCTCTAGTGCGATTATTAATTATATCCCAACTATTGTAACAGTCTTCTCGCCGGCCTACCCCAAAATCAACTAAATCCCCCAGCTAGAATGATCACATAACGCCAGTTCTCCAAGCCATTCAGTCGTTACCAATCAGTGTCCGAATACACTTTAAAGTAATCTGCCTAACACATCATTGTTTCAGTGGACAGCTTCATGATTACCCCTGTGAATTTATTTCAAAAGAACAGTTGCGTTCAAACAATCTCAATCAGCTAGTAGTACCAATGTTTGTGATGTCTGTATATTGTGTCTTGTCCGTGGGTTTGTTTGTGTGTGGTGCATAGTAATAGCAAATTATTATACATTTCTATAGCACACAACTGCCATGTTTGGGCTTTACAAAGACATATTGAAGAGCAAGACAATATTTCATTTAATTACTAAAACGTGATAACAAATAGCATACCGGTACTTAATCAAGTTAAATAAATAAAAATTTGTTAGAATGAAATATTGCGTTGATATTACGTGGTGATTTCATTGGTGATATAAAGCAGCTTCGTGCTGAAATTGAATTGTTGTCATTAACTTTGGGTTTTCGAGTCAAAAATAAAATATTCGGTTTTTCAATCGTTCAATTTTATTATTTTTTGTGTGACATCCAGCATCTGTAATCTGTATTGCAATTTTCAAGATTAGTGTAATTAAATCCCCATTCGATGTGGGTTTAAATAAACAGTATAACGGGGAGTAGTACGCGTTTAAGTGGAATGACATATTGTTTTACAGTTGTGCTAAATATGAATTCAGTCTTTTGAATAGGTCGTCATTATCGATTTGGTTTTTGTCGGAAAATATCCATTTTTTCACGGCTTAATCCATGCAAATATATACTCGGATTGATTATTTAACATTTTAAGGAAAGAAATCAAAATACAAACGCTACATGATCTCCTTGCTTGGATTCAATCAGATTAAAAACAGGTCAATCAATTATATTTCACGAACTCGTTAAGATGGCTGAGGGCGGTTTTTAATATCATGACGTCACCCGACAATAAAAGAGACTTGTAGTTTGCGTTCAGCCTACGCTAGATCTCAAAACGGCAAAAGTTCAACTTGGACAAAATGAAGACCTGTTCTGTCGACAGATTCTGTCAAGAAAAAGAAGTAAGAATGGAAAAGTAAAGTGTACCATTTACATAACTGTCAGCATTGATTGATGAAATTTTGCTTCACCACATCTATGTAAATGCTGAAAGGAATTTAACTTTTGCAGTATTGTAGTTTGCAATGGATTCCAATATTGCACCCAGGGAGTCTTCCAAGCTATATCTGCGTTATAGCCTCGTGGTGTATTGTATGCTATGAAAACATTTTAATGCATTAGAGAGGTAGTGTGCAAAATCAGAGATCGCCACTGGGCAGACTAAAAGTAAAGGGTGAACAATGTTTGTGCCTGTAGAAGAGATGAGTACACCATCGTTCATAAACGCCCTAAGAAGGTTTATCGCCTTAGGAGGGATGCATCTTCTTAGTTGTGTCACCATAGCGCAAATTAATGAGTATTGTGACTGGTTGATGGAATGTAGGGCCAATGTCCAATCCCACACCTTTTCCCAGATGGTACCCATTGCCTTAGCTTTCCCTTTTAGATAGGCACCAGTTCTTCCAAATATATTATGGAGGCCATCTTGCATCTTCAATTTCTATCCAGATTTGACGAAACTAAAAATATAGGTTTATCCCCAAAAGATTTCGATTCCGTTTGATATTCGCGCATATCAGACAGTAACTTCTTGGATTATGGCCCCTGGTAGCACGAAAAATTGAATTTTAAGCTTGTGGAACCCTCTCGAGGTCATATTTTTTTTTATCCGATTTAAATAAAACGTTTCAATATATCACCGTGACACCATATTGACAATTGAGTTCGAATTGAAAGACAATC